TCCGGTAAAAAAAAATAAAAAATAAATAAAAGTTGAAATTATACATTTTCTCTCTCTCGTTATTGTAAAAAATAAAAACAAAAGTTAAAATCTCTTTCTCGACAATATTAACACATTNCATCTCAAGCTTCATCCAATTTTTTATGTTGCCTTCTTGAAGCCTTATATTGAGGACCCAAAGGACCCTAACAGATATGTTCGGCATCGAGCTCCTCCAACAATCAGGAAGCAATTCACAAAAATAGCTGAAGATATCCTTGACCACAAGACTGAGGGAATGAGCAAGAAAAACAAAAGAACTCATTACCTAGTCAAGTGAAAAGGAAAAGCACCAAAGGAAGCCACTTGGGAGAAAGAGACGATATTGTGGCAGTTCGAAAATCTCATCAAGTAATACCATGCCTCCATTCCAACGGGGTCGTTGGATACTTCAGGTGGGGGTGGCTTGTCACACCCTAATTGACTTGGGTGCAAATGGCCGGTCTTGGTGGCACCTTGCACCAAGATATGTCATAAGTTAGAATCAAGGTGATGCGGCTAAATGGTTCGACAGATTGGGGCGAACCAAGGCAGTATGACAACACCCGGTTGAGTATGGCAACACGTGGTGGGCTCAATTGAAACAATGTGGGTGCATAGCTTCGGATTGCATGGCATGGGTTGAACCCAACATGCACATTGGTTCGTATAGCCAGGCTGACTACTAAATATGAGCACTTGACTGACACATGGCTACTGAATGTGGGCATTTGACTGGCACATGGCTGTTCAATACATGTAACCAGGAGGATGTGGGCAATTATGATGCTGAGACACAGTCAAGATAGTTGCTGAGGCAGTTTTGGGCGTCCCTAGTCTGAATTCAATCTAGATGCATGTTGATGAAGGGCAGTTCCACAGCAGTTACTGAAAGTGATGGAACTGTCTGCTAGGTGTCACACACTGACCAAGCCTGCTAGCCAGTATGCTATGGAATAGTAAAAACGTGTGTAACTACCCCTTAGCAGATGGGGGTGTCATCTACCTTACTCCTGTATAAATAGGGGTGCTTGAGCATTCTGATGGGAGAGAGAGTGTTCTGACTTTGAGAGTTCTTGTAAATTGTTGAGTTCAATATATAAGGTTTGAGAGTTTTGTTCCAGTAAATTTGTGTGTGTCTTCTGTGTGAGTTTCTGTCCCTTATTCTTGAGTTTGAGTGTGGCTAGTTACAGTAACAACGCCTTCACAGATAGCCTCAAAAAAAAAACGAAAGTTATCATGTGACAATAAGTATGATAAGCTACTTTTAAATATAATTGTTGGGAGGATGGTTAGTATACTGATGAATAAGTACGTGGACTAAATCTACTTTTAAATTTAGGCTCAAACTCAATTAAGAAGTCTTGTTTACCTTGCTAAATGTTAAAAGAAAAATACTACATGAATCTAATTTGTTAATTTAATCATTCCTTGTTACAAATGCAATGACTACCAATTCAATGACTTAATCACCCCACGGGAATCTATTAATTAAGAATTACTATCAATTCAATCAGGGCCCGCCCTGGAAAAAAAAAAGTATCGGATTTAGGCTCCAAATTTTTAGAAGTGCCTATAATTGTAGGTAAATCACTAGCCAAAAACAAAAAAAATTAAATCTATTAAATTTTAAGCTTTAGAAAAAAATTCCCAAAAAATTAAATTTAATCAAAATTTTTATTACAATAATTTGGGTCTATAATCCAATCATAATATTAAAAACTTAGAAATTAAAAAATACATAAAAGTCAACTCTTATTTACTCTCACCTACTACTCTCTCCGGTAAAAAAAAATAAAAAATAAATAAAAGTTGAAATTATACATTTTCTCTCTCTCGTTATTGTAAAAAATAAAAACAAAAGTTAAAATCTCTTTCTCGACAATATTAACACATTTTTCTTTTGTCTCTTTCTCATATAAAAATTAAAAATAAATTAATTTTTTTAAAAAATAATACTAAAAATAAACAGACCTCTATTTAATAATTCTACTTTAAGTCTTAAATTGCCATAAACCGCCCCCTGAATTCAATTCCATGACTTAATCATCCTACAGGAATCCATTAGTTAAGAGTCCACACCAATTCAATTACTATGGTAAATAATTTTTTTCAATGTTAAAACCAACCCATTACGTAGGTGGGTTTTGCATACGACGAGAATTGGAGAACCGACCAATTAATATTGTCCACATCTCTATTTTTTTTTTTTTTAATTTGAAAAACCATCACTGAATGACACGTGAAGGCCTGGTGTCCATGAGTTTTCCCATTTTGTCGCTTTTAATTAATTATTAGATAAATGATTAAAAAAAACATTTGGATTAAGTTAAGTTAACCGCCAATGATTCGATAGCCAATGGGATGGCGGCGGCTTGTTCCCTACGTGGGGCAAAATAAGTGGTCCTGGGAATCAAAGAATGCGAGCTGGGTTTGATGGACGGTGGTGGTGAATTATCAATTGGCGATGATTGGTCGGTCGTCTGATTTGACCTGTCGGCTAGGCCCCACATTTGAATGGTGGGTCCCATCCTTTGAAGGTCCTTCAGCAGGGCAATGCTCAGCTGCATTCTAATTTAGAAGGGTTAATGACATTTGCGTCGTCTAAAATTTATAACTAGTTGCACATTATCCCCTGAAAAATTATTAATATCATATACAACACATAATTTCAATGAAATTATGCAATGTGCCCCCATATGACTTTCCCTTTGTTTTCATACCATTACCCACTAACTGCATACCAACACCATTGACACTTACTGTATGGACAATACCACAACAACCTAAGACCTCACAGCTCATTGGCAAAATCATGACTCTCGTTATTTTTGCTCGTTTCTCTAAGTTTCCTCATCCATAAATAAATAGATCATTGTTACACTTTTCACAATCGATCAACATTGTCGTTATGCATGACATCACTACCCACAATCGTCAAACTCCACTTACATAATAAAAAAAATCACGTGTATTACATTTAAATTTATTTATATTGTGTTGCCCCTATTATGCCACATACCTGTCATGTAATGTCCCCATTAGAAGAAACTCAAAGTCGTGTGCCAATTACAAGGCATTGCAATAATTTGAAAAAGAACAAGGTGCAATATGTGACCTCTAAACTTCAAAGGTCCAATGTATAACTAGTGACAAATATTTAGGGAGAAAGTGCCATTAGCCTAATCGGCCATCCAGAATGAGCTAAAGAGATGATCTAATTTTTTTTAGATTTGATTAAGGTAAGGTTATTGCCCCTCCTTAAATCTTCTTTTCTCACTCTATTTAATTTTTTTATTTTAAGCTATTAAGTTCACTATATCTATACTCAATAAACTATTAAATTCATTTCATTTATACCCAACTCATTAATTATTAAATTCACTCTATTTATATTTTTTAATTAAAGATTAAATTCATCCAATTGTATTTCAACCTGCTACTTTTAGTGTATTATTTCATTCAAATTTAAAGGCACCTGGCTCATTAGTTTCGGTGTATTATTTAGATAAAAAGGTATCTGAAATAGAGTAAAAATAAAAAAAAAAATTAATAATTTATTTTAAAATATTAGTCGAAATATATCAACACCTAAAAAAACATCAACATATTCTGAAGACATTGGTTAAAATATGTCAAAAATATTTTAAAACACATCGAACTATTATAAATCACCTCAAAATATTGAAATTTCGTTTTAACTACTCTTTTTGTTTTGGTTTCTTTGACTATATATTTAATAGTTTAATTGGATGAATATAAATGAGGTCAACTTAGTCATTAATAGAGTGGATATAGACGAAGTGAATTTAGTTGCTAGTTTGAAATAAAAAGATTAAATATGGTGGGGATGGAGATTTAAGGGGTGGGAATAGCTCAATCCTTTAATTAAACAGCAATGTTACTTGGATTTATAATGTAGATCTAACTGATCATTGTACTTGATTTAATAGTGGGATCTAGTATTTGTTAGAATTCACTATTAATTCAATAATTATGATTGATTTGATTATTAAATTAAATTCATATTTTATCAATGGCCCTTTACTCTATTGGTACTCTTTATCTTGTGAATGTTTTACCTTTTTGAAGTCAAGGGTTCAAGTCAAGCCCCCTTTCCAAAAAAAAAAAAGGTCTAAATAATATTTTCCTTAATTAAATGGTCCATCCTTTTTCTATTTTTTGTAACTAATAATGCACGATGTGCGTTTATGTAAATAAATTTAAATGATATTATTTTTATAACATATTTTTGATCATATAAAACTTTATTCTTTCATATATATATATATATATAAATAATTATTTGTAATTGTACTACTAATAAATAAATTATGTTGAATTTAGAAGTCTATATACAAAAGCCTAAAACAAGTTAAAAGATAAATAAGTGTAAAAGATAAAATTAGATGAAAGTATATAGGTAGGCATAATTAACTTTATTATAATAAATTGGAATAAAGTAAAAAAAAAAAATTCACATATTCAAACATTTATAAATAGTATAGATATAGAGCACTATTTTCTCCTTTAAAATAGTAATGAAACCGTCCTTACTCTTCAAACAGGTTAAAAAGGTCTAATGGATGGTTCTCGTGTTAATCCGATCCTATTCAACATGACTCGTTTAAAATTAAATGAGTTAAACGAGTCATGATGTATTACCTAGTTGTTTAAACGAGTTAAACGACTCGTGATGTATTACTTATTTGTTTAAACTATTCGTATTCATGTTAAAAATTTTATTCGTCTATTGAATGTGTTGTATATAAATTTATTTGTTTTTCGTACGCCATCCATTTATTCGTTCTAAAATAACGATAATCCGCAAGGGGAAGGTTGGTGTAGTGGGTGATTAAACATCGAAAGTGACAGAAATCAAAATTAGTGAGAAGGGGCGGCAAAACTCAGTTTAATTAATTGTCTCTCAATTCTTCACCTCCCCCATAAATACCTCCTCACTTCTCAACCCCTCTTCTCATCACAAACAACCCCCAAAACTCAGAACATCTCTCTCACCACCATCACAAACAGTAGGAAATGGCCAAGGACATTGAGGTCGGAGAGCATGGCGGCAATTACGCCGCCAAGGACTACCAAGACCCACCACCAGAACCACTGTTTGATGCCGAAGAACTGACCAAGTGGTCGTTTTACAGGGCGATCATCGCCGAGTTCATTGCTACACTCTTGTTTTTATACATCACAGTTTTGACTGTGATAGGTTACAAAAGCCAGACTGACCCAACTAAGAACTCCGATCAGTGTGGCGGCGTCGGCATCCTTGGCATTGCTTGGGCCTTTGGTGGCATGATCTTCGTCCTCGTTTACTGCACTGCTGGTATTTCAGGTCAGTACTTTATCATAGAGCAAAACTGTCAATATTTACCGGAATAGTTATAATACTTTAAAAGTATCGGTCCATATAAATATGACTGAACCAGTTGTTATGTAGAATGACATAGCATTGTAATAATTGCTGTATTGATATGTGCAGGAGGGCATATCAACCCCGCTGTGACATTCGGGCTTTTCTTGGCTCGGAAGGTCTCACTGGCACGAGCCTTCATGTACATGGTGGCTCAGTGCTTAGGGGCCATTTGTGGTTGTGGCTTGGTCAAAGCATTCCAGAAGGCTTACTACGTCAATTACGGTGGTGGTGCCAATGAGCTCTCCACCGGGTACAGCAAAGGCACCGGCTTGGCAGCCGAGATCATCGGAACCTTCGTCCTCGTTTACACAGTCTTCTCCGCCACAGACCCAAAGAGAAATGCACGAGATTCTCACGTACCAGTAAGTATCATAAGTACCATTGTAATTTCATTGTAAAATCAAATATCCAACGACGTGAGTTGTTTGCTAAATCCGAAAGAGGATCTTCTAAAAAGTTTAGTATGTCTTAATCCTGTTCATGTTCGAATTAAAAGGTCTTGGCACCACTCCCTATTGGTTTCGCTGTGTTCATGGTTCACTTGGCGACAATTCCGATCACCGGCACCGGTATTAACCCTGCTCGGAGTTTTGGAGCTGCTGTGATCTATGACAAGGATAAAGCATGGGATGATCAAGTATGTTAACCTTTATTAATTACATAACTAATACACACATAAATTATTATTTTTTTCTTTTTATTTAATCCCAACGGACCTCAATTTGAATTTGATTTGATGTTGTTTGTTTCAGTGGATTTTCTGGGTTGGACCATTCATTGGTGCTGCCATTGCTGCACTCTACCACCAGTATATTCTCAGGGCTGGAGCAATTAAAGCTCTAGGGTCTTTCAAAAGCTAGAATATTAGAGGGAATATAAATCCGAGAAAGTTTGGGTATTACTACGTGTGTTCTTGTTTGACGCGTTTTATGTGTTATTGTAAGCTACTTTTTTTGAAAATAAATATATTTTCTTACCAAAAAAAAAAAAAGGAAGGAATTATTCATTGTCGGGAGGAGATGTGACTCCATTGAAAAGTTGTAAAAAGGTACTGGTGGGGAAGGTCTCGGCCTCAGTTATGTAACCATTGTGGCTTGGCACTTGTTTTAAGTATTCCCTAATGTTGTCAATTTATCTATGGTCTTGTGGTCTATTTTCCTTTTTATTGGTTATGTGTGTATAAATGTGATTCCACTCTTTTTATTTTAACTGCACCCCTGTCAAGTGAAAATAGAGATAAATTATAAACTCAGACATCTTAAATTTTTTAATCCTGGCGTGAATGACTTTTATTTAATCAAATCATAAAGGTGATTAGTCGAGATGTGCATAAGTTGACTCAAACACCGTTAACTGCAATACCAAAAAAAAGAAAAAATTAAGTGAAGGTTGGCTAACAAAAAGACCACCCCCCTTAATAGACAAAAGCAATTAATCGTCACTGTTCAGTAGTATAGTATATTAAGAATAGTTATTTAGCTAATGAAAGCTTATCTTTTCCATAAATCCATGTTCTAATTAAGTTTGTCTTTTCAATAATTCCATGTTTTGATTGCCACCTATCTAGGGGTTGGTCAACTTTATCATTTTGGCTGGAAAAAATAACAATTATAAAGTAATCAATCTTGCACTTCAACTTCACCACCCACTGAATAACCTCATCATTGCTACCTCACCGCCCCTATCCACCACCTCACCCTACCACTATTGCCTCTAACAACCACCACCCCCACCCCTAACCACCACTGCATTATTAGTTTATCACCATTGCTACTAATGGGACGTGGACATTTTGTCAGTTATATATCGACATAAGAAATATTACAACTAACAGATATGTGCCCCAAACTTCCATAGGTCGAGCCCGATGACAAGCATTTCCAAAATTGAGTAAAAACGCACTATGGAGGAATGAAGATATACACGGTTGATGTCAAGGATTAATTGTCCTCGGAAAGTGCACCTCGTGTAGAGTGTTGATGTGCCGGATGGTCGTTATCATGTCACATCAACTTCAAACTTGTTTTAAACCGTCAGAAAGAGAGTCATGGCCTTTTACTGGCAAATAATAGTCCTCAAGGGCATCAAATTAAATGCACGGCACGAAATCATAAATGCTCAGTGACAGATCGTGAGTATTCAGCATAAAACACTTAATATTCAATATGACTTGATCTTTGCTTCACTCTGTTTCCTCCTGTCATTAGATTTTTGTGGATATTGAACCTCTTTATCTTGCATATTCAAGGTTCTTTTCCACACTCCCCTCACGCTGATCATTGTAATCGTGTGACTCTTATTTTTAATTTTTTGTGGAGCGTTTGCAATAAAGTATGGAAGCCAATTGACATCAAGGAGGAATTCAACGACTAGTAATTGCAAAACCAGAAGCTCAACAAATTGTCAATTCTGCCAGAAGGGGTAAACCTTATATTCTTCATTGTAGTACCTTCTGTCCACCCTTCTTCCTCTGCTTTGAGAACCGTGTGAACAGAGAGTGGGCAGAACAGAAGGGAAGGAGGTCCTCATACGGAGTCGCACACTTACTTGAGCAGTGCAGGAGACTTAGGAAATGGGTCGAGTAAACTCTCTCGGGGCCGGAAAAATCACAGACACATCTAAATTGGGAAGATAATAGTTTCCGGAATATGTAAACTATTCGCAAAGATTTATTGGTGTGATAAAACATGATTTCTTCTCTGTTATGGACTGTCAATTCTAGAGTAAATGCCAGTAATTTTCAGTTGTTCATATGAATAAAAATGAACTCATTGGTATCTATAATAATAAAACAAAGCCTGAACTGTTTACCCTCCTCAGTTAGAAAAGTACAACAACAACCCCCAATCGTTTAAATATGATGATTTATATTACAATTTAACCTTTTAATCTGTTAATCACATAACTCGTATAAATTCAAGTGGTAACAAGAACGAGCTAAGTTTAAATCTTAGTAATCTCTTGGGGTTAGTCCNAATCACATAACTCGTATAAATTCAAGTGGTAACAAGAACGAGCTAAGTTTAAATCTTAGTAATCTCTTGGGGTTAGTCCATAAAGGATTTATCCCTCATACATTCTCTAATCCCAACATGAATGACTTACTTTTATCAGACTGAGAAAGAGATTAGTCGAGTTATGTGTAAACTGACCTAGATACACTTAACCGTTGAACCAAAAACAAAAAATATATTTTTGGGTAATGTCGTGTATAGGATCCTTAAAACTGTTTTTTCGTATATGCAAACCGGGCTTCATCACAGATATGAACTTGGTTTGTTGATTGTGCTTTTGCTCAAGTGATCTCGAGTAAATTTGCTTTTTTTGGTGGGTTTCAACTGGTTCAAGGAGAGACTGCTTTTGGAAGATTTCAAAGGTTATGTAGGATATTTAAAAGGAAGTCTTTCAGTCATGGTCTACTCCGAGGTCTGTCTTTGATTATTTTCAGGCAGCTGTGGAAAGAGAGATGCTGAAGGGTTGCAGGAGAAGGAAAGTTGCATTCTTACTCTTTATTTGTAAGGATTTGTAGTATACTTCGGTATCAAGTTAAAACTATTACTCTGAAAGTGTGGGATGATGATATGGGTAAAGCTTTTCTGAGTTTTTTGCAAATTGAATGTTTGGGTAGTATTTCGCTGAAGTGCGTTTGGGTGAAATGGTCCAGTCCAGCTAAGGGTTTTATGAAATTGAACACTGATGGGGGTTTCAAGTGGCAATCCTATCTTGTTTCTATCTTTGGCCGACTTTCTTTTTCTTCCTAGTAATCATTTGATTGCAAAAGAGATAAAATAAAGTAGTACTAAGTACTAAGCAGAAAACTCTTTGGAATTTTTTTCTCTCCTTTAACAGATTTTTAACTTTGTCATTATCTATTGGAGTGATATGAAACAAAATTGATATTTTATGGTGTAATGTGAAAAATTTTATAATTAAAGGTATAAAATAAAATAAAGTAATAATTTGAGAAATAAAGTGTAATTTACTCTTAAAACACGATAGTGCTGACCGGTTTAGCAGGAAAACATCACATTGTGTCACTGCTTATGTTATTTCTAAAATAGGAGAAGATTCTAGTACTGAAAAATAAAATATATTTTGGCATTGTAATTTCTAATATTTATAATTTGTGTGGATGTTTTCATAAATTTTAAGGGTCATTTTACAACAAAAAAATTTGAAAAAATTCCATTTTATTCCCTGAAGGATATAAAAATCTTAGTTTACCCCTAAATGATTAATTTTCTCATATTGCTACCTCAAAAAATAAAAAATATTACAATATGGTACATCGTCTTATTTTTTATTTTGTCGTACGTCTATTTGTGTCTTTTTGATTGGTTGATTTGACACAAACAAACGAACGATAAAATAAAAAATAAGACAATGAACCGCTTGCAACGTTTTTATTTCTTTGAAGGAAAGTGTAAAAAAAATTAACTATTCAAAAGATAAATTAAAAATTTTCTATATCTTTTATGGGGCAAAATGAGATTTTTCCAAAAAATTTACAACTTTTGAGGTCATATTACAATTTATATGGTTCATGTGAAAACTTTTGTGTGTTATCCGGGATTTATCCTAAAAAAATTAGGATTGATCACAAGTAGTCCACAAAACTTGTAAAAAACAACTACAAAACTTGTAATAGCGATACATAGGAAGCAGTCAAGATGATGTTTCTCTCAGTATGAAGTAATTGCAAAACAAACTTCAGATGAAGACAATATCATCTCCCATTTTTATAACAACTGATTCTTCATGCTGTCGTATGTCTTGACGACATTAAATGAGAGTATTCATTACTTTCTTTATTTATCTATTCATTCTATTCTGTCGTCTCTGTCATCAACATAGCACTGTTGGCCCTCGTTCATGGCTTAAAAGATGTGAATGATTCCAGTCTACGTGAGTAGCTCTCGGCCCAAAATCTATCTCATGGTACACTTAATAAATTAAAAGGAAAATTACACTCAGATCCCTTAAAGTTTACTATTTTGTCTTTCAAAGTTCTTAAAATTTGAAATATTATATACAAACACCCTAAAATTTATATGCGTATAACATATAAACTCTTGTCATCAATGTCTATTAATAAATTACTTTCAAATTTCCTAAGGGGTGTAAGTGTTATATGCCTAAGTATATCTATTTGATTGGAGTATTTTTTGTCTAAATATAATATTTTAAACTTGAGGGATTTAAATATTATACGCATAAATATAGTGGGTTTAAATATAATTTATTAACGGATATACTAAAGGACATTGATAGTAGGGATCTAGGTGTTATATGTGTACAAACTTTAATAGGTTTGTATATAATATTTTAAATGTCAAGGAGTCTAAGTAATTAAGTACCAAAATTCAGAAAGTTTGAATATAATTCTCCCTAAATTAAATTCTCAATTTATAAAATCAAAACAAATGACAAGATTAATTTAATTTTTATCTATTTCAATCTGAAGGTACAAAATTCATCCAAAAAAAATATTCACCGCTCAAAAATATCATATTCTCTACATAACTCCTAATACTAGACAACTTAATCAACATACTCCCTAATGCAAACAACCACTGTTATCCACATCTACCACTCTCTTCTATCTTCTATGTTTCTTTCTTATTTTCTCTTTGTTTATTTTAATTTTAAATTATATAATTAAAAAAAATAAATTATTATTTAAAATATAAATGTTATACGATTAATGTTCAATTTTTGATATTATAGAATATCTTCAAGCACGGGTTATTGATACTATTTTTATATTAGAGAATCTTCTTAATTACACATCTTTTGAACATGTGATTTCTATTTCAATTTGGAAGAGGCATAATTATTTGCAAATTATATGCATCAAATTAATCTACGTGGTAACTCTAAAATCTTTTCATTTAACCATTATTTTTATTTCGTATTCCATTTGACATCAGATCACATATCAACCCTTTCCAATAGTTTATTAGCTAAACTTGACCTTTGATAGCGCAGAAGTCTCACGTTCATCACTTCGCAAACCTCCTTCACATTCAACATTTCATTGGAAGTTTATAGCTTCCCAATAAAGAAAATGTAAGAAAAATGTGAGGAATATCTGCCATACAGACATATCACATGCCAAATGCGCAAGTCACAGAGCAAGTGGTCACAACAAGGCGGTCTATTTTATTCAATCACCATACGATGATAAGAGTGTGAGTCGGTAAAGTTGTACTATTATAACTCAAGTGTCGTTCATTCAAATTATAATAATATTTTGAGGTAAAATAGTAGATATCTGATTTTTTTTTCCTAAATTCATTAATAATGAGAATCTTATGAACTAGAACCGCTACAATATGACCCACAGTCGACAGAACAAGTGCTACCATATCATCACTAACACATACTATCATGGTCTAAATGATACGATATCTCATGAACATAATATTTCCCCCAATCTTAACTGTATTCATATGGGCAAATACAACATTTTCATATAGTACTATACTATTAGATCATTATATCATATGAGAGTGATGAAATAGTATTATATTAGGAGCAATTCATGTCTGAAGACACGGTGCAATGTGAATGATTTTGAAATAGATGTTGATGACCGTTAGATGAGTCTATTTGAGACTATCGAATCGATTTACTGAAGTTTGTCCTGTTTTATATTATAGATTTATGACGAATATCTACTTGCCATATCCAAGCACAAGACATTGATTTTAGCCATTTTTTATGCATTACCTTTTATTGTTGGTCATCATTCAGCTCTTTTCCACATATTTGGCTCTTTGGGCATTTTTTCTTTTAGGGAATATGAGGTTTTTCTAACTTTTAATCAAGTGTTCCTATATTACCGGTGCTTAGAATCATGTAAAAAAAAAAACTATCAAGATTTTAAAGTCACGAAGATGATTAGTTCCGGTGCACAAAATTAAACAATTCTATAAATGATTTGTATCATCCAACTACGTGCGGGTGTAAGAGATTTTGATTCAATTCATCATCTTGAAAACACAATTACTAAATTTTCAATCTTTCTATAATACTTCATGTCAACAAATAAAAAAATCAACCTAAGTCAAAATTTAGATGCTTTGAATCTAGGATGAAATGTTCAGGGTGTTCAGAGAAGTAAGCAAACACAAATTTCAAGGGAGGTAATTGTAATTTATCCAACAATTTGTGATCTACAAATCAAGCCAAATCAGCATACAACTCCAAAATTTCATTGCTCTTTTGGCTCTCAACAAACAGCATGATTGGGGCCATTGTTCAAAATTCATTGAACTTTCTCCTTGTGTACATTAAAACCGAAACACATCACATTGGTCTGCAACCATTTATATCTGGCGCTGGCCCCCTTAGATTGCATAATCTGAGTAATGGAGATTCGATTTGTCCGCTCTTTTGGCCTGTCCCCATTAGGAAAGGAAAGTTTACCCTCCATATCAAAAGAAAATTTGAGAAAATTTCAACTCAATAAATACGTTATTTTATAATTAAAGCAGGTCAAGTGAGATCGATCTCAAATTTTTTTATATTTTATTAATCCGTAATGGTAATATGATTCAAACATAATTTGATCCGATTAAATCAATATTTAAAAAAAAAAAAAGTTGTCTAATTCAACGCAATAGTCATTTCCATAAGGAAAATGTTTGTCAGGGGAGAAGCTGTGAAATGGATGCTAGTGGGTTTTTGACCAGAGTCAGCAATTGAAAATAGAGAGGCCAGACAGGCTGACCATGCAGCCATGTGATGCATCAGGATCATTGGTTGAGGATTTCTAGGACAGTTTACAAGGTGTGACTATTTATTGTCTTTATCTCTCTACTCTTTTCTTTCTCCTTTTATAAATCTCTGTATATTTGAATAAGTTTTCAAACACACTTAAAATAGACTTTTACACTAAATTTGTATAAAATTCTTATCTTAACAATCAACCTTAACATACACTTGTTACTCCAAGTGTCCAACGAGTCCCATATCAAATAGTGATGAAGGAATTTTAGACTATATAAGTGAGTAGGTTACTTAATCTAGTAAGTGCGCATTTTGGGTTGGATAGTGTCCAACAAGTGGTATCATAGCTAATGGTCCAAGTCAATATGTGGACTCGGCTCCTTGTGCCGAATAAGGTAGTAGTGATGGTTATTTGCTCTAAGCCTCGCTCGAGAGAAGATTGTTGAGTCGTCTAACAAGTCTCACATTGGTTGACAATGAAAAAATACTGGACCATATAAATGAGCGGACCACTCCACCTACTAGCTGCGCTCTTTGGGTTGAAAACACATGCCCAACACAATATAAGGTTGTTGATTAGCTTGGTATGAATTAAGTCAGTTTCTTAGTTATATGATTTGGTACGAGTTAAGACTGGTTATTAGTCCAATTTTAATGATTGGTTCATTATGAGGTGAAGTACCAATATAAGAATGTTGATTGGTTCAATATGAGTTAAATCTGCATGTTAATCAATTATGTTAATTAGTCTAATATAAGGTTGTTGATTGGCTCGATATGAGTTAAGTCTGCTTGTTGTAAGGTGAGATGAGTAATAATGCAGCATGTGCCTACNTCTGTTAAGTCTGTTAATTAGTCTAATATAAGGTTGTTGATTGGCTCGATTTGAGTTAAGTCTGCTTGTTGTAAGGTGAGATGAGTAATAATGCAGCATGTGCCTACCTAGTCCAAACCTTCACAAATATACAATAGTTTACCAACAAAGGTGCACTAATACAGTCAAACTCATGTACCACAATTGGCCTAATACAGTCATACTCATAGAGAATCTTTTGAGATCAGACTCGAAAAAATTTATCAATGATAAATACTTTTTATGCTCTTTTTTTTTTTAATGACAAATTTTAAATTCAGACCTTTATGAATATTCTATTCTAATTTTAACATGAATATTTATTTTTAATCGGACTAAAATACGTATAAAGGACACCCTAGTGGCTTAGACACCCTGACGACGTCGGCAGTAACTACCTCAGTGCAGTACTGTCAAGTTCTCAAACGGTCAAAACAAAACTGTAAAAATGGTGACAGCCACGTTCCCTCTACATCTCCAGAGCTTCACCGATGAACAATACAAACACCAACAACAATCATTCTCTCTCTATGATTCCATGCATGTACTCTCTGTACTGATTAAATCCCACCAGAATCCAACAACTCCAAAACCATGAAAAAGATCAAGAAATCCCCTTTTGGGTCCTCCACAAATCCACCATTTCTTCATCTTCCACTCCAAATTCTCCTACTCTACCTAAAATCCGCATCTGGGTTTGGGTCAATGGGCCCTATATCAGCTGCATTTGGCGAAAGCAGCTTCTTCTGTGCCATCGACGCCAGTGGCAAACAAGAAGTGATCTGTTGGGGAAACAAGAGTAGCTCTTCAGTACCATCATCAAGCCCGTCGGTCTATTCCATCAATGTGCCCCCAATAGCTGCTCTCTCCGGTGGGAATGGCTTTCATTGCGGAATTTTAGCGAACAATTCGCAAGCATACTGCTGGGACTCTATTGATTCGAGTACTGATCTTGTTCCTCCGATCTTCAAAACTACTTCTTACTCACATATCGCCGCAGGCAAGAACCATGTCTGTGCAATTAGAGGGTCCTACTATTCGGAGAACGATTTGGGTACGGTTGATTGTTGGGACATTGTTAGAATTTCGAATAATAGTTTTAGTTCAAAACAGAGTACTATGTTGTATGACCAGTCCATCAGTACACTTGTTTTTAGGAAAATTGTTGCCGGTGAAGGGTATAGCTGTGGTGGTGTTAGAGAAGGCGGTATTGTGTGCTGGGGCCCAAATTCAGCTAATTTGGGAGTTTCAAATATTTCGGAGAATTTTGTGAACTTAGCATCAGGCATAGGTTCTCTTTGTGGTGTCTCAGAATTATCTGGTCATGTCAAATGTTGGGGGGCCATCAATTCATATGTCACTCCAGTTGGAATTCGGTTTGTGTCGTTGGCAGCTGGTGCACAACATTTTTGTGGGATTCGAGAAGATAATCATGGGATTGAGTGTTGGGGGATCTTTAATACCTCATCAGTTCCAAAGGGTGGTTCAGGGTTTTTGGCGATTGCTTCGTCTGATTTTATCACATGTGGTTTAAGGGAAACTGATTTAGTACTTGATTGTTGGTTTGCTAATGTCCGGTCACCACTGGACTATGATCCTCCATTGCAGTTGTGTAGTCCAGGTTTGTGTACTCCTGGTTCTTGTGGTGAAGGTAAATTTGCTTTCAATGCGAGCCTTCTCAGTGAACCAGATTTGACAAGTTTATGTGTCCGGAAAGATCTAAAGATTTGCATACCTTGTGGAGTAAATTGCTCCGAAGGATATTTCCCTTCTAGTTCATGTAGTGAGAATGCTGATAGAGTATGCACAGAATGCTCTCTTTGCCAAAACAGCTCATGTTGGGGTGTCTGTAGGCTTCAATCTTCCCCAGAAATGCAGAAGCAGCATCTGCATCAATTGAATATACTGGTGATCATAATTGGCTCTTCTATTTCAGGTATCGTTTTGATATTGATTAGCTGGTGTCTTTTACCCCGACTCATTACTGCCAAAAATGGAGGGAAAAGGAAACAATTTGCATCCTGCATTGGCAATTCGGAGTTGGAAGTTGATGCAAGTATTGATCTAAATACTCCTGCATTTGTAGCCCCATGTCCTGGAATGGCTCAAGTTTTTCGACTCTCAGAGCTGAAGGATGCAACCAATGGGTTCAAGGAGTTCAATGAGCTTGGCAGGGGAAGTTATGGTTTTGTTTACAAAGCTGTCCTCGCAGATGGGAGGCAAGTGGCAGTAAAAAGGGCCAATGCTGCTACCATAATCCACACCACTGGCCGCGACTTTGAAATGGAGTTGGAGATCCTTTGCAATGTCCGACACAGCAATATTGTGAACTTGTTGGGTTATTGTGCAGAAATGGGGGAAAGGCTGCTTGTTTATGAATTCATGCCCCATGGGACACTTTATGACCACCTCCATGGGGGACTCTCTCCTCTGAATTGGACCCTCAGGTTGAAGATTGCACTGCAGGCTGCAAAAGGGCTAGAGTATCTTCACAAGGATGTTGTTCCTCCAATTGTCCATCGAGATGTTAAAAGTTCAAATATTCTATTGGATGCCGATTGGGGAGCACGAATTGCAGATTTTAGGCTTCTAACTCCAAATGACAGGGATCTTAATGGGGACATGAGAACTGATGTACACAACTTTGGGATTATACTGCTTGAGATTCTCAGTGGAAGGAAAGCTTATGATAGAGATTGCATGCCTCCGAGTATAGTTGACTGGGCAGTGCCCCTAATTAGACAGGGCAAGGCAGCTGCTGTAATTGACCGATATGTTGCTTTACCAAGAATCGTTGAACCTCTTCTTAAACTTGCTGATATAGCAGGACTCGCGGTGAGGGAAAATCCTAGTAAGCATCCTACTATGTCAGATTTGGTGCTTTCCTTGGAGCAACTGGTGAAGGATGGATTGTTATTGTAAATTCAAATTGGATTCTTGTTTATCTGATGCAAATGAATTTTCAGAACAGAAACCATCAGATTAAAAAGCTTTGTGAGTACTGCACTGTTGCAATTGTACATTTGGTATAGGCTTCTTGTAAATTATGTATTTTACACCACTCGCCAATCCCACTGTTCCCAAAATGAAATAAAAGAAAATGATCTCATTGATGAATCAAAATTACTACAATTGATTAGCCAGCCTATATTTGTTTCTCTGTTTGGAAGTTTACAAAATAATTTTGCTTCTTTTATAAGCATTGACTAACTATTTATTCAAAGAACACTCTCTTCTATGCATGCAGACATAGGGTGGCTATGAGTATTGAATAAGTTGGCCAATGTATTGTTAAAAATTTGGATCTTGCAGCTTAAATTTGTCATTAGTATTTGTTTTCTATTGGCTAACGCTCCAGCACGGTCATTTGGCTATATATACGTTATGTTTGTATCATGTTGTTCTGTGATTCAACTCAATTCAATTTTGGAGTCGGCTATCATGTTATGTGATTGCAAAAACAAAAATGGTTATTATGAAACAAGCTATCTGAAAATTTTCATCCAACTATGTCAATTCTACAGAACACCATTGTGGAAAATCTGATAAAAATTGGACTATGTATCTCCAAACAAGATGAATATGATCCGCAATTCAAGAAAGAGCAGTCCTACAAAATGGGATATAAGGATTGTAGGCATGCATCTTTAGTTCCTAGCAGGTTGATTACATGGACATGAATGGTACAGTTGTACATTCAACAAACAGTCGCATAGCATTGATGTTGTACTTTGTATGTGCTCCACTTTTATTATTCACAGATCTGGTATCATGTGAGAACCAAGACCAGAGATTCCACTTTGTTTCCAATGCAGCTCTAATGTTGTGAAATGTTGGACTATCTTTGTAGATCATTTTAGATTTCTGACTTGATTAATGGTCTTTGCATAATTTCTTTAGCAGTTTAGGGTTTTCATTTTCGGTAAATTTTTTATTTGTCACTCATAACACAGCCTTACCTGAGAAGCTATTACTTGTGCCCATTAGTTCCAAATGAAGAATCAAATTTTGTACATTGTCTCCAGAATCATTGGTCATTTGCTTTACCATTCTGGAGTGACAGAGAAATAAAATGTTTCATTTTTTAACCAACGAAACCACTTCATCCATGCGTGTAACAGTCCACCAATAGCGGAAGCGATGGTATGCTAAGAATTTTTTAAGAATCCATGTTAAAAAATGAAAATAATTGAAAAAATATGTTTTTGTTTTTTTTTTTTTTTTTTTTTTGGGGGGGGGGGGGGGGGGGGTTG